CATCTAGTTGGTTTTGTAAGTCTAATAAGGCATTATTATCTTCTTGGCTCAGATGCTCTTTTTCAGTAAGTGTTAATATTGTTGATTAGCATATATGTTACATTCTTCTTTTTGTGTGTCAGTATCTTGCCATAACCCGAGCAGGTGCCTCTAATTTTATATTTGATAAGTTCCTACGATGTCCCAAAATGATTCCCTTTTCTAGCAGCCTCCCATTGTTCTGAGTTCTGTTTTCATTTTTAGCTCTTCATGTGAATTATTTAATTTTATATTATTTTTTATATTCTTTTGACAATGTTTCGTAGTCCTCTGGCACTTACAGAAAGTAGTTTCATCAACCGCTAAAGAACAATTCTCTTTACAAGAGAAAAACAACCTAAGCAATACAGCTTCTGCCTCTTTAAAGTGGATTTGGAACATTTAAAAGTAATGACAAAGTGCTTGTGTTTCATGAATGACTGATTGGGTTAATATAATGTATAATATACAATTATTAATTATTATTAATATATAATAAAACCCTGAGAGAGGATGGAATTCAACCCTATGAACAGATATAGCCAACATAGGTATTAGAACCGTTACCTGAAAAGATTTTCTTACCCTTTAAAACAGCAACAGAAAGAGAGGGCATAAGTTCAGAGTCCTAGTGTGGCTCCGTAGGAAACATCTTAAAGGATCTCCACATCCGCTATGCCTTTCTCGGGTGTTCTTGTCGGCCTGAGTGAGATCATCGCCAAAGCGGAGCCTGTTATCCCTCAAGAAAGTGTGGTTTAGTGCATTTTTCCAGACGTCATCCCTCACTGTGTGGAAGGCAAAGAGGATAATCACGGAGCGATGGTGTGTGTTGCCGGCGTCTGTGCACGACATCGATTGCTTGACTCATATTTTGGTTAGAGGCTATTTGCTGACAAATGTCTATCACCTTTCTTTTGACATTTTCCTCCCTTTCCTCTGGTAGCCCATACAGCCTTAGAGCCCATCTCCACCTGTATCTTTCAGTCTCAGTGAGCCGAATTTCCATGTTTTTAGTTTTTTCATGACTGTTGCAAAGCTCAGATAACTTTTTGTTTTTATTTTTCAAAGCTTCAATTTCAACGAAGGCAAAATAAAGGGAGGTTTTCAGCTCTTCGATGCCTGACCGTCTCTACCATCAGTTCCAGGTTATCAGCTCTCTGGTTAACTGCAGCCAGAATGTTAGCCTGAAGATCCTCTAGGGTCAAGTCGCTCCTTTGTTTCCTTTTTACTTTGAAGGCAGGGCTGGAAGAGGGGCTACCCACCAATGTAGCAGCCTCAGAGTCTGTTGAGAAGTTGTCATTTTCCCGCCGTTGTTTTCTTTTTGGCTAGCAACGTAGTTGTGGTCCATTAGCTTCAGCACTTGAGCTCTGTCTTTACGTTTCTGTTTCCTATTCTGTTTTTGTTTGAACATAATATGGTGTAAGAATGTTACCGACAACAATAATGTAGTTCCACCGTCGTTAAAAGCTAAGTTGGGAGGACAGAAAACTGTTATTAAGCAAGCCACTCTGTGGTTGCGACTGAGCGCTCCTCCACCATTCTGGAACCTCAGAAGTGATACGAAAAAACCCACCTGGTAGCAGGTACAGATACAACTTTTCCATAATGGAAAACCAAAAAAAGAGTTGAGGCAAGTCGAGCTAGTACCATGCAGTGGAAAAGGGGCTTTAAAGTCCACTCAGCATTTCCTCAACACTCTCTCACCATCACGTTCCCCACTCAATGGACTGTGTACAATTATTTTGGTCATAATTTAAATTCCGATAATTAACCTATTTTATTATTGACTGACTTAGGAAACATCATGCGTTTATTGAACTTTTAAAATTTAATACTTAATTTTTTAAAAATGATTATGCATTATCCAAATAGCCCATGAAATAGGAAATAGTAATTAAATATTTTAACTTTAAACAGCTTCTTAGAGACAGCAATGCTGTGTGTGTGGCGGTGGGGTTATGGTATGGGCAGGCGTGTGTTATGGACAACGAACACGGGTGCATTTTATTGATGGCATTTTGAAAGCACAGAGATACTGTGACAAGATCCTGTGGCCCAGTGTTGTACCATTCATCCACGACCATCACTTCATGTTGCAGCATGATAATGCACGACCCCATGTTGCAAGGATCTGTACACAATTCACCCATTGAGCAAGTTTGGGATGCTCTGGATCGGCGTATATGACAGCGTGTTCCAGGTCCTTTGCACAGCCATTGAAGAGGAGTGGACCAACATTCCACAGGCCACAATCAACAACCTGATCAACTCTATGCGAAGGAGATGTGCTGCACTGCGTGAGGCAAATGGTGGTCACACCAGATACTGACTGACTGACCCTCCCAATACAGTGAACCTGCACATTTTTGTCCACAAGTGGCCTTTTATTTTGGCCAGCCTAAGGCACACCTGTACAATACCCATGCTGCCTTGATATGCCACACCTGTGAGGTGGATGGATTGGCAAAGGAGAAGTGCTCACTAACACAGATTTTGACAAATGATTTTGACAGATTTTGATTTGTGAACAATGCTTGAGAGAAATAGGCCTTTTCATGATGAATGGGGCAAAAACAAAAGTGTTGCATTTATAATTTTGTTCAGTGTAGAAATATAAGTAAGCATAAAAGCATTAGTGCAATGGACACAGATCAAACTTGAGCATTGTTGTAATGTGTGGGGTCGTGTGTGCACACACTCCTGCACACCTCAGAGTACTGGAGGCGTACACTTCCTGGAGAGATGGAAGGTCCAATCACCCTCTCAGCAGAGCGAATGATGGTAAGCTGCTGCCACCATCAGGGACAAGGGCAGGCTGCAGCATACCAGGTGGTGATGGAGGAGGTGAGGATGGACTCGATGTTGGCGATGTAGAAGGGCACCATCATTGTCTTTGGCAGGTTGAACTTTTTTAACTACTGCAGGAAGTACATCCCCTGCTGGGCTTTTTTGGTGAGGGAGGTGATGTTCAGCTCCCATTTGTGGTCCTGGTAGATGATGGAACCCAGGAAGTAGAAGTCCACAGTGTCAACTGTGAATCACACAGGATGATGGGGGAGGGTGGAGCTGGGCTCTTTCTGAAATCCATGACCATCTCCACTGTCTTCTGAGCAATGAGCTACAGACTGTTCTGGCTACACCAGTTCAGCAGATGGTCAATCTCCCAACTGTGGGCGGACTCATCCCCATCAGAGATGAGCCCAGTGATGCTGGTGTCATCTGCAAACTTCAGGAGCTTGATGGACTGGTGACTGGAGGTGCAGCTGTTGGTGTACAGGGAGAAGAGCAAAGGGGAAAGACGCAGCCTTGAGCAGTGCTGATGGGCCTTTTCATCAGAGACATGTTTTTCCAGCTTCACATGCTGCTTCCTGTCACACAGGAAGTCTGTAATCCACCTACATTTGGAGTCAGGCACGCTCATCTGGGAGAGCGTTTCCTACAGCAGAGTTGAAATCTACAAACAGGATCCTGGCGTAGGTTCCTGTTTACGGTGTTGTCTACAGACCTGTTGGCTCTGTAGGTGAACTGCAGGGAGTCCAGGAGTGGATCTGTAATGGACTTGAGGTGGGACAACACGAGGCGCTCAAAAGAGTTCACAACAACAGAGGTCAAGGCAACGGGTCTGTAGTCAGTATGTCCTCTGGTTCTTTTGTGTTTTTTTGGGACAGGAATGACAGCTAATCAACACAGTGCTTCAGGGTGGAGGGGGAGACAGAGTCGGGGTCTCTGCCTCCTGAACAGTCTGTTGGCATCCCTCTCTGAGATGGTGAGCAAGGGGAGGACGAAATGGTGGACTGTGGCCGATCAGTGGTGTGACAGAGCATGGTGTCAGGTCTGTCTCATTGTCTTTCAAAGCAACGGTAGAACTGGTTCAACCAGTTGACAAGGTGAGAGTCGTTTGTGGAGTGAGGGGATTTAGGTTTGTAGCTGGTGATCTCTCTGAAGCCTCTCCAGACAGAAGCAGAAGGAGTGTTGTAGTCTCTCTGGTGATATAGTACCGCCTTGCTAAACCTGTACTTTGACTCCTTAAACCTGGCCCTGTCTCCACTAATGCCTCTAACCTTTGCTGTCTGAGTTTAGCTGTGAACCAGGGTTTGTCATTGTTTAACTCATCCTGGTGCGTGATGGTAGCTGTCCTCACAGAAGCTGATGTAGGACGTCACAGCCTCTATATACTCATCCAGACTGTTGGTAGCAGTTCTGAAAACATCACAGTCAGTACAGTCCAAACACGCCTGAAGGTCCTCTACAGCTTCACTGGTCCACTGCTTGATCCTCAGCACAGGTTTACAGAGCTTTATATTCTGCATTTATGCAGCAATCAAGTGGTCCATGTGCAGTGCGGGTGACGGCGTGAGGCACTGCTTACTATTGTGTAGCGGTGATCCAAAGTTGGACATTTGTCTGTATTTTGGGAGTTCATGGCTGAAGTTTCCTTTGTTAAAGTCACCAAGAACAATAACCAAGGAGTCCGTGAATGTCCGCTCTACCCACAATATCTATCATGCATGCCGGCCTGCGGTGGATGGGGTGGTGATGGTGCATTGGATAAGACACATGCCTTTGTTGTGAGAAACACGGGTTCAATCCTTCCCTGTGACACATCCACCAATGTGTCCCTGAACAAGACACTTAATCCCTAGTTCCAGACTGATTAACCCCCTTGTTTTGTGGTACTCAGCAAACCTAACATGTAAACACACCGACTTCTTTGGTGACGTCACATATTCAAGAATATTCCTACATTGCAGAGGGTACTGCTGAAATGTAAAGAATGTAGTTCTAATAGTTTTTTTTTTAACATTCTGAATTATTGCACTTACATTGTACCCCTGCACTTGCTTTGGGAGTACTAAATTTAATTTAAATTATTAGATTTTTAATTTAGTTTAAAACACTAATACATATCAGGCCCAAGATTAAAAAAATAGTCCAGTATATCATGGCGTGACACTGTAACCAACTCTGCTTTTTCTCCACAGCTCTTTCATCTCTTACACTATGGCAGTGATTGCTGTGAACTTTGTGGTGCCTCTATCTGTCATGTTTTATTGTTACTACAACGTGTCAGTCACTGTGAGGAGATACAGAGCCAGCAACTGCCTGGACAGCATCAACATCGACTGGTCAGATCAGATGGATGTCACAAAGGTGAAAACGTACACTCTGCCATTTTCAGGTTCACTTTTCTTTCTTTTACTCTGCTGTCATTGAGGTAGTTGGCCACTTAGTGGCATGCAGCTTTAGTGTAGGCTGTAGCTAAGCAAGAGGAGGTGCCGAGGGTGCAGCTGTCCTGGGCCCCAGTTACAAAGGGGACCACATTGGACCCAGTCCGCCAGACTGAACATTTATTTCTGTTGTTTGGTTGAATATTTTGAATAAAGTTTGCTTGTGTGTCATCATCTGTGTCTTCTGCAGAGATGAACCCCCACCGCTTCCAAGATTTTCTCGTCTCATGCAGCAAACAGCACCAGCGTGGACACTGTAGCCTGTTTGCATAATCGTTGATTATACCCCCTTAGTACCCCCTTAATAGGAGTTTATTTGGGAGTTTTGCTTTCACACCTAACCTGACCAAAGCACTGCACTGACCGTGCTTGAAAACGGTGGTCTCAGTGCGCTTCCAAGCAGACTCTGGTGTGGTTTGCGTGTGATCTGAAAGAAAACGAACCAGCCACAGGATTCTATGGTATCAAATCATTATTTAATTTACTAAACTATTAATAAATCCATACTTTATGCATATTTGGTATCCACAGTAACCTGTGCACATCAGCATATATGTATTTTCCCTCATTAACAGGTCAACAGCTGTTAAAATGCTATGCGTGTACTCTGTGTACTTCTGTCTGTTCATTAATTCCATTCAAGTGTGTAACAGTGATTTCACAGTAGTAAGCCAAAATCATTAATAATAATAATAATAATAATAATAATAATAATCTTTATTTATAGAGCACTTTACATAAAGCAGTTATGACATATATAAAACAATACAAGAAACAAAATATACTTCAAATAAAATCAAGGAAAATCAGGGAATGCTCTACGATAAAAGTATGTTTTAACAAGGGATTTAAAAGAATTTACTGATTCAGCTGACCTAATTTCCTCGAGTAGATTGTTCCAGAGCCTCTGTGCCCCTCTCAGTTTCAGCCGGGTCTCTGGGACCACTAAAAAGGCCCTTACTTGAGGATCTCAAGTTACGAGCTGGTATATAAGGTACTAGTAGGTCAGCAATATAGCAAGGGTCAGCAATATAGCAAGGGGCAAGACCATGTAAAGCCTTAAATGTAATCAGTAAAATCTTAAAATCAATTCTAAAACATACTGGCAGGCAGTGTAACAAAGCCAAAACAGTAGTGATATAGATGATAAAGATCACGTTTCTAGGTTCTAGATAAAAGCCTGGCAGCTGAATTCTGGACATACTGTAGCTGAACAATAGATTTTCGATTCAGGCAGGAAAAGAGATTGTTACAATAGTCCAAACGTGAAGAAATAAAAGCGCGTAAAATGGTCTCAGTATCTATAAAAGTTAAAAAAGGTAGGATTTTAGAAATGTTTCTAAGATGATAAAAACATGATTTCACCAGCTTTGTGGTGTGCTGCTCAAAACACAAATCACTGTCAAACCAGACACCAAGATTCCTTGCCACTGGCTTGATTTGCTCTGATAAACCAAGGCAATCTGTGAACGGCACAATATGTTTTGTCAAATGCTTGGGGCCAATGATGAGGATCTCTGTTTTATCGGAGTTTAATTGAAGGAAATTATCGGATATCCAGTTTTTTTTAACTCACTAAGGCAGTCCTTCAATGAAGTTAACATTTCAGGGTCAATGTGTTTAATGGGCAGGTACAACTGTGTATCATCTGCATAAAAATGGAAAGAGATACCATGTCTTTGAATAATGTGCCCTAAAGGAAGCATATATAATGAAAATAAAATTGGTCCCAAGACTGACCCCTGCGGCACCCCATACTTAACAGTAGTGTATGAGGACATATAATTATTCAAAGACACACGGAAACTCCTATGTGACAAGTAAGATTATAAACCAGTCTAAAACAGTGCCAGATATCCCCACCCAGCGCCTCATTCTCTCCAAGAGGATACTATGGTCAACCGTGTGAAACGCTGCACTAAGATCTAAGAGTACAAGCACAGACCACATTCCACTATCTGCAGCCATCAAAAGATCATTGGTAACTTTGAGCAATGTCGTTTCAGTGCTATGGTATTTCCTGAAGCCTGATTGAAACTTTTTAAAGATGTTGTTTGTTTCTAATGTATGTAGAAGCTGCTTGGACACAATTTTTTCTAAAATTTTAGCAATAAAGGGCAACTTGGATATTGTTTTTTTAACAGTGGGTTCACACACACAGTTTTAACAAAATCTGGGACACGCCCGCTGGATGAGGAACTATTAAAAATTCAGAGCAAGCAAGGCCCTACAGAATCAATGACTCTTAATAAAAACTTTGTCGGTATCACATCAAGAGGACTGGAAGATACTCTCATATGTGATACTGTTTCTACAAGTTCCGTAAATGTAATTGGATAAAACTTGTTAAAATTGTCGTGCTGTGGGTGTGGAAAATCTGAGGAAGTGGCACTGGGTGTGATAGAGGCTCGAATTAACTCCACCTTTTCAATAAAATATGATTAAAAACACCTCACAGTCAGTGTTACTTTCAGTATGGGCACAAGGTTAGGTTAGGATGCGAGAACATATGGTATGGGATATGACTATGGGATTAGCGGGTGACTCACAGTTAAAACTATACATCTGTGGTCAGATACAGCCATATCCAGTAAATCCACAGTAGAAATTCTCACACCTAGAGTAAAAACAAGGTCTAACGTATGACCACGATTATGTGTTTCACCTCATACATTTTTTTAAAATGAAAATAATTTGTGATATTTAAAAACTCAGAAGCACAACTATTAGTGGGGTCATCCACAGGGATATTAAAATCACCACAAATAACAACTTTGTCATAGTTTAAAACAAGAGTAGATAAAAATTCAGGAAGTTCCATTAAAAAGCTGCCTGGTGGTTTTGGAGGACGATAAACAATAGCAAATTTTATTGGATTTAGGCTTCCGAGTTTAAAAGTCAGAACTTCAAAAGATAAGATTTTCTCACAGGGCACTTTGTAACACTTAAAATTTTTCTTAAAAACACCAACAAGGCCTTCACCACCATGACCGCTGAATCTGGGCCGATTAAAACAGTCATAATTTGGGGGACACAGTTCAACAGTTTGGCTATGATCATTTGTTTGAAGCCACATTTCTGTTAAAAACATAAAATCTAAATGTTCAGGTAAAATAAAGTCATTTAAAATAAAAGTCTTATTAGAGAGAGATCTCAGATCTCAGATCAACTCACATTTTACTTGCGTAAATGTGACACAAAGTATCTTTTTGGCACCAATTGGATTTTGTTCAATCTTACACATGCAAGTACACTGACTGTGTACTGGGCTGCAAAAAAGCTTCTGAGGGGACTCCTGTACTGTGGCTCTTATCCAGTGTATACACTTGACTGGGGTGGTGACGATACAGTTGATAAGACACATGCCTTTAGTTTGAGAGACCCGGGGTTTTTTTTTCCCCATTGTGACCCGTCCACCAATGTGTCCCTGAGCAAGTCACTTAACCCCTAGTTGCTCCAGAGGCATGTGACCTCTGACATGTATAGCAATTGTAAGTCGCTTTGGATAAAATTGTCAGCTAAATAGGTTGATGTAATATAAAGGGCTGCAGCTGTTACTGTGCTGCTTTTGCTACACTGCTGGTGTAGTGTAGGCTCAGTGCCAAGTTTGCCTAACCATTGTCAGTCTTGAGGAGTGAATATTAGATACATATGTATTTCAGACCACTAGGGGTCCACAGATTACCAGTTGAGAAACAGTTGGCTAGAAAACAACCGTAACGTGATTGAACTTGACAACGAAAACCAGATGACTGACTGAACTTTTTCCTCATTGGTTTTTGGGTTAAATGAAAGCCTTGTTGTGTTTCTGGCTTGCAGATGTCAATAGTGATGGTTGTCATGTTCTTGGTGGCCTGGTCTCCATACTCCGTGGTGTGTCTCTGGGCATCGTTTGGTGACCCGAAGACTATCCCTGCTCCCATGGCTATCATCGCTCCACTCTTTGCCAAGTCCTCCACTTTTTACAACCCCTGCATTTATGTTGTTGCCAACAAAAAGTGAGTGTTTTTATTTTCTTTATGCTTTGAAAATGGTTAATTAGGTAATGTAATAATTTGTTAATATGCTTGTTTCTGCGTATAAGCTTGTGAGAGGCAGTTGTATGGGTTAGAGATGTGTTATTACAATGTTTTAAATGCAGTACTGTATTTTGCTGTGAGTAGTGAGTGGATGGTGCATTTAAAGACATTAATGATCTTTTCCTGCAGGTTCAGAAGAGCCATCATAGGGATGATCCGATGTCAAACCAGACAGCGAATCACCATTAGTACGCAGGTTCCCATGACAACCTCCCAACAACCTCTGACCCAGTGAGCTGAAAATGTATCAGTCTCATATTGCATTAATATGCCCTAGCATTAAAACCATGTATAAAAGACTAGGATGAAATAACATGAATCACTGTCAGTGTTTTTCTTTTTGTGGCTACTTTTCTTTTGCTAATGCGCTGTGGTGTTTACTGTGTAAATTCCACTTGCGTGCCATTGTAGTCATTGTTTCAGTTGTGTTCCAGTTACTTCAATAACAAATACTTAAAAATACTTCTATGAATGGAGTGCTTCAACTGCTTGACCGAATCATATCTTGTGCTTGAAAAAGGCCAAAGCAAAAATAGGAAAACCCATCACTCCTTGTTCTCACATGTTGACATGCTGATACACTTCTTCCATCAGATACAGTAGGATTAAACTGACGTAGCTTCACAATCACAAGAATATTTATTTGACGTTAATTGGACAGATAAAACTTCACTCTGATTCTGAGTCCTAAGTGTATCTTTAAACTCAACCAAGACACTGGTGGTTGACTCTGCTCAATGAGTGTAGCTACACCTTTTCTAGAAAAAATAAAGTCCTGCTTTTGTCTGTTTTTTGCCATTATGCAAAAGCTGCCATTTTTATGAAGCAAGAAAAAAAAGAGGAATTGCATAGAGCGTTGGCACAGACTAGTTTCTATCTAGGTATATGCATGATTTATAATGCTTTGGCAAAGCGCTACAGGTGTGTGAATGTTACTAACATTTAGATAACAATAGAGTCAAACTGTGTTTTAGTAACAAATCTAGTGGCTGAATCTGATATCCGCAGCATCAGTTTTTTTAGTTTTACATTCAGAAACACAACCCATTAATTTCCCCTCCATCTGCCTTTTAAAGGTAAAATCTATAAGAACTGAGACTACCCTCCTGTCGAATTCATCAACAGTGTATACAGCCAGAACCTTATCACTTCTAACTTGCTGAATTAAGGGTTCATTTCCACCAAACCAGAGCTGGTGGAACAGTGGAAAGACTAACAAGGACAGGTTTGATGAGTTTGAAAAAAGTGTGTTTTACAATAAATTAAAAAGGCAATGAAGCCAGTCTTAGTTCAGTAAAAGAGAGAACCTTGAATGCACCTTGAAGGTGTATGGTTGTGTTTTTCAGTTTAAGAAGCAAAATAGGCATAAGAATATTTCCTTTCTTGACATTTTGTTAGTTTATTTGGTTTATTTTTTAGACTATGGGCCCTTTCACACATACCTCATTTGGTATGGACCTTTGGACTTTTCAGTTTGATCCAAACCAAAATTACAGGTGTGAAACCCCCCGGACCACAGTTCAGAGCAAACAGCCGAAATTTGGTCTGACGAAAAGAGGTAGTCTCAGTCTGGTTTCTGGTATGAAAGCATTTTGTACAGTTTGGACTTTCAGACCATTTACAGGAAGTTCTGGTGGTTCCTGTAAATAATAGAAGATGACGTAGCAGAAGAAAAGGAGCTGAAAAATTAAGAAAATGTTGTTGTTCTATTTCATTGCACGGAGAAAAGCACTGAAATGAGGATACATATATAAATCGCCTGTGACAGCTCTCCTGTTGAAAAAGACAGCGACTAAGGAAGCAAACTGCAACTCACGTCTTTGGTCTCTCCCCAAACAGAGGTGCAGAAGGATTGCTTGTGGTCTTCTACTCCTTTTCTGCCGGCGACAATATAATGTTCGCACAATGAGGATGTTCATATGGCGAATTTGAACTAGCCTCGAGTATAGCTGGTGCTGCAGGTAGTAATGTCATAACAATAGCAATATAGTGGCAAAGATATGCATGTGTTTATTCATTCTTGTCAAAACTACCCACTGAATTGACAACACGCTGATGTCAGACCTATGTCCGTTTTCTAATCAATCAATATCAAATATGCTAACTTCAGTAGATATCTCTACAACACAGCATACAGACATCAGAACTGTTCTTCTTCACATTTTGTTGATAACGTTTGTAATGTTTTAAACAGATATTCTGGCCATATCCTATACATTGTACCTTTAAGAAAGGATTTTTTGGTGATTTGCCTTATTAGAATTATTATTATTATGTGAACATGGCTTTAGAGCCTATTCTTACAGTCTTACCAGTAGTGTGGCTAAAAATGTAAACTTGGGAATTGAAGTGAAGGAAGCACAATAGGGAAATGTCATTCCAATCAAAATGATTCATCCACCTCACCTGGGAGCATGAACGTGCTCCGCTAAAGGTTATAGTACAAACTATAAACTCTTTTGAAAAAAATGGACTTGATTCTGTGGGCAGTAAATTTTGTAGTAAATTTAATTTTGCTCTTTTGTTTTGATCTGATTGGAAGTTAAGTCAAAAGTAAAAGTTTGGGTAGTTTAATCTACAACAATAAATCATATTTTATAAATTGATCAAATGTTTTGTGTGTAAAATCTTGCAAAGTCATCAGATAAGTACACTGATAGTGGTACAATGTTTTCCTATGAAATCTAGTGAAGTAAAGTAGCACAAACAAGAAGTAAAGTTAAGTAAGTACTTAAGTAAAGTGCTTGACGGCTTGTAATCAGTTACTTTCTACCAGTGAATAAAAGTATTTATTGGGCAACATAATGGTCACTGTTATTATTCCTGCAACATTAAGATCTATCTAACTGATTTCCTGGTCCTGTTTTGCATGCAAATTGTTAATATTCAAAATAATTAGTAACCATACTGAAGTGCAGCACAAGTACCTCAACATTATACAACAGTACAGTAATTAAGTAAATGTTAAAATTCCACCACGGCTGACTAGGCCAGATGATTCACACCGAGTCAGTTTAATAAAACTTTATTCATTCAACTCTTCAACTCCAGCAAGTCCTACACTCCAACACTTCTATTATAGTTTAAAAATACAAATAAACACACACGGTGCCATGTGAGCAACATGCTCAGAGAGTAGTGTGTACTTGTTTTTGTATGCTACACACCAAGAAACAAGATGAGATTAAGAAGAATGCATCATGATATAATATAGGTGGGTCCAACAATCATGGCTGCACTCTCTGTGGTGGCGAGAGAAAACTCGCTGTGCCACAGGTGTACAATGCACCTACGCCATTAAGCCACAGTTTCTGTGCTCCTGATGATTCCAACAGATTTAAAGTTATTTTAATCCAATTCAATACAATATATATTGTATACAATATTGTTGTGACTTAGTGAAAACAAAATTTAGAGTTAAAATAGTTTAGAAACATATTGAATATATTGATTATTAATAATAAAAATGTTTAAAGTACAAGGAGGAGTAGGGGCTGTTTAAAGATCCTTCTGGTGATGTGTACAAAAAATGAAGAAATGATTGTTAGTAGAAACAGAGAGGAAAGTGCTTCAGAGAAGGCAAATGATGCTACCTACCTACACAACAGGACAACAACGGTGAGAGTCTTATTGTGTGCATTCATATTGGTGACAGCAGTAGAGAATCTCTACATGACTAGATACTTAACAAAATATCTTTTAAAGCTGAAAACCACCAGCTAAAACCTGCTAAATGGACTGAAAGTGGAATGCAGACTTTTGTGGACTACAGTTATTTGCAAAATGGGACTTCGACTTAAAAAAATTTATGATGTGTGCAATCTGCTACTGTTAAGTGCTTATGAGGAAGGATTTGGGTATTTGTTTTGATTTACTGTTGATTCAGATCTGCAGCTTTGTCCCTTCAAACAGAACCTAAACTGAATCCAACACAACAGGAATAGGCCACCATATCTACTGTGACTGTGAATACTCTGCTTCTGGATGGAGACAGCGTGTCGGTTTCCCTACAAGGTTTTAGGCGAGGTTATTCTCCAACCACCCAGTGATCTCGTTCTCATTCCTCCTGATCCATTCGATGTTGTTCCTCACTGTCTCCAGCGCCTGCTGTCGTGGCATCTCCCCAGCACCAGCATCCGGTGTTATACTGAAGAAATGCATCATCTACAAGACCAGTGTGGAGAAATATGTCACAAGAAGCCTGATTACAACCTGTGAATCCCTACCTGCTCTAGATCAAAAAATCAAACATCAACATTTCAAAGTCAAGTGGTGAAAAGGCGGCTTAAAATAAAAACTTTACAGTGGCTCCATATGAACCGATGTATTTTAATCAGATAGGTATTTTACGTACAGTATCACACAAAGTGATGACACCCCTTTCATGTTTGTAAGTATTTGTTTATATCTTTTCATGTGACAACACTGAAGGAATTACACTTTGCTACAATGTAAATTAGTGAGTGTACAGCTTGTTTAATAATAAATAAATTTTCTGTCCCCTCAAAATAACACATCACACAGCCATTTATGTTTAAACTGCTGGCAACAAGAGCCAGAGCGTTCAGCTATCAAGCTCCTCTCCTGTGGAACCAGGTTCCAGTTTGGGTTCAGGAGGCAGACACCATCTCCACATTTAAGAGTAGGCTTAAGACTTTCCTCTTTGATAAAGCTTATAGTTAGGGCTGGCTCAGGTGAGTCCTGAACCATCCCTTAGTTATGCTGCTATAGGCCTAGACTGCCGGGGGATTTCCCATGATGCACTGAGCTCCTCTCTCCTCTACTTTCTCTCCCTCTGTATGCAACCTCATCCCATTATTGCATGTTACTAACACAACTTCTCCCCTTTCTGGTAGTCTTGTGCTTTCTCGTCCCTCTCCTCTCTCCTCCTATCACTTCCTGCAGGTGTTTCTGGCTCTGGAGCTGTGGAGTCTGGAGCTGTGGTTGCGGGTCACCTGCTGCCCCCGTGTTCCTGCTCGACACCCTCTGCTGCAACGACTATTGTTGCTAGTCCTATTGTTATTATTGTTATTATAATCATTAACATTACGATTGTTATCATTTTCACTACTATAAATATCTGTACCATTTTTCATTTAGTCTATAGCAACATCACCTTTACTGTCTGTACCTCTGTGTGTATATTGTGTAGGCTGCCTCCCTCCCCTCTCTCTCTCTCTCCTTCCATCCCTCTCTCTTTCTCTCTGTTCCTCTCCTGCCCTCTCTCTCTCCCTCTCTCTCTCTCTCCTGCTCTCTCTCGCCCTCTCTCTCCTTCACCCCCATCCGGTCGAGGCAGATGGCCCACCCTGAGTCATGGTTCTGCTCGAGGTTTCTGCCTCTTAAAAGGAAGTTTTTCCTTGCCTCTGTCGCCTAGTGCTGCTCTTGGTGGGAACTGTTGGGCTTCTGTAAATAACATCATAGAGTACGGTCTAGACCTGCTCTTTTATGAAAAGTGCTCAGAGATAACTGTTGTTGTGATTTGGCGCTATATCAATAAAATTGAATTGAAAATTGAATTGAACAAAAGTGAGTACACCCCTAAGTGAAAATTCCCAAATTGGGCCCAATTAGCCACTTTCCCTCTATGGTGTCATGTGACTTGTTAGTGTTACAAGGTCTCAGGTGTGAATGGGGAGCAGGTGTGTTAAATTTGGCGTTCTCACTCTCACACTCCCTCATACTGGTCACTGGAAGTTCAACATGGCACCTCATGGAAAAGAACAGAAAAAAAGAACGGTTACTCTACATGAAGATGGCCTAGGCTATAAGAAGATTGCCAAGATCCTGAAACTGCAGCAGGATGGCTGCAGCACGGTGGCCAAGATCATTCAGTGGTTCAACAGGGCAGATTCCACTCAAAACAGGCCTCGCCATGGTCGACCAAAGAAGTTGAGTGCACATATTCTGTGTCATATCCAGAGGTTGTCTTTGGAAAAAAGACGTATGAGTGCTGCCAGCATTGATGCAGAGGTTAAAGGGGTGGGGGGTCAGCCTGTCAGTGCTCAGACCATACGTCGCACACTGGGGCGGCTGTGGCTCAGGGGGTAGAGCGGGTTGGCCGTTAATCGGAAGGTCGGCGGTTCAATCCCTGGCTCCCCCTAGTTGCGTGTCGAAGTGTCCTTGGGCAAGATACTGAACCCCGAATTGCCCCTGGCGGCTATTCCGCTAGTCTATGAGTGAGTGTCAATGTTTCCGTTTGAGCACTTTTGAGCACTCAGTGTATGAATGTGTGTGAATGTGTGCGCTTTGAGTGGTCGAAAAGACTAGAAAGGTGCTATACATGTACGGAGCATTTCCATGAAGGAAGTGTCTTCTAAAGATGATGCGCATGAAAGCCTGCAAACAGTTTGCACTAAGGACATGGATTACTGGAACCAGTTCTGATGAGACCAAGATAAACTTAATTGGTTCAGATGGTGTCAAGCGTGTGTGGCGGCAACCAGGTGAGGAGTACAAAGACAAGTGTGTCTTACCTACAGTCAAGCATGGTGGTGGGAGTGTCACGGGCTGCATGAGTGCTGCCGGCACTGGAGAACTACAGTTCATTGAGGGAACCATGAATGCCAACATGTACTGTGACTAGGGGTGGGAATCACCAGAGGCCCCACGATACCATATTATCATGATACTTATGTCACGATACGATGTTATTGCAATTTATTGCAACATTTTGTTCTTTTTCCCAACTTCAAATTGTGTCCACAAAGGAAAATTATTTTTCTAGTGGACTGAAAAAGCAATTTTATTAGTAAAAAAACAAACTTCTCATGTACAATTTTTTAAATAAAAGATTGATACATATTGCCTTGCAAAACATCGCGATACTATGCTGTATAGATTGAAGCAGAGCATAATCCCCTCCCTCCAGAGACTGGGCCGCAGGGCAGTATTCCAACATAACGACCCCAAACACACCTCCAAGACGACCACTGCCACGACCACAAAGAAGCTGAGGGTAAAGGTGACGGACTGGCCGAGCATGTCTCCAGACCTAAATACTATTGAGCATATGTGGAGCATCCTCCAACAGAAGGTGGAGGAGCACAAGGTCTCTAACATCCACCAGCTCCGTGATGTCGTCATGGAGGAGTGGAAGAGGACTCCAGTGGCAACCTGTGAAGCTCTTGTGAACTCCATGCCCAAGAAGGTTATGGCAGTGCTGGAAAATAATGGTGGCCACAAAATATTGACACTTTGGGCTCAATTTGGACATTTTCACTTAGGAGTGTACTCACTTCTGTTGCCAGCGGTTTAGACATTAATGGCTGTGTGATGTGTTATTTTGAAGGGACAGCAAATTTACACTGTAAACAAGCTGTACACTCACTACTTTACATTGTAGCAAAGTGTCACTTCTTCAGTGTTGTCACATATATTTACAAAAATGTGAGGGGTGTACTCACAGTCTGTCAGATGATGAGACACTGTATCTTCAAACAAGCTGAAAAAGGTAAGCAAATATTTATCAACAAACTGCATACAGAAACAGAATGTTTGACAATCACCATAACTTTATCACAACATGTTATTTATATTGGTTGGTATTAATCAACCACCCTCTTCAGATTACTTTTTATAACTCATTTAAGAATATTTTAAAGGAAATGCAAAGCTATGGAAATGAGGTGACTGTTTTAAATAATATTAATGTGAAAAATAGAAAAAAAAAGAAATTACTGGTCAGTATGTTTTAGCCAGATTGGACCTTCTAGAATAACTCAAATAAGTAAAACTCAAATTGATCTTGTATTTTTAATTTTTAATTTTTTTTACAGGAATTTCTGATCACAATCTAGTACTCACTGCCCGGAAGTAAAAGGTTTATTTTAAGACAAAACAAGATATTTTTCCTTAAGGATACCAAAGAAAGATTTTTCCAAACTTAATACGGAATTAAAAAACTCAGCTTGAGATAGGTTAACTAGCATTGAATAAACTGTTGTATTTCGTAAGGCTTTTATAGACACTGTTAATAATGTTAAGGCCAAATTTATCAAGAAATGAAGTAATAGACATAAAAATTCAACCTACCCTGATTGACAGAACCTATTTGGAATTTCATGAAGAAAAGAGACCATCCACTCAAAAATACATTAAAATCTGGCTTTGATACTGATATGTGTCTCTTTAAAGACCACTGTAACAAAATATTAAAGGAACTTAGAAAGACAAAAGCAAACTTTTTCAATGACCTTATTAAACAGGCTAAAGGTAATAATCACTTGAAAAATTCCTTTATTGGATTGAAGTAAGGGCTGAATGGTTGAAGGTAAACATTTATGAATCACTGGTTGCTGGTTTAGGTTAAACTACTTGCTTAGCGGGACACCACAGTGAAAGCTGACATTGTCTCATAGACAGGTTGTGCTGCCGGTTGATGATCCTGCTCACGCTCAAACACAAAATTCCAAAGACCACCCAAAAAGTGTTGCCGCATGTATTTATTATTTTGCAACACAAGTGCACCACAGTGCAAAATGCTAATACACACAAAATGTGTATTAGTGAGTGAAAATGTATTTAGAGTTTTGCACAAAGAGTGGATGAGATTTGCAAAAAGTGTCTACCTGAACTCGTTTAAGGGTTTGCCAAAAGAGTGTTTTAGCAATTGTGAAAAACTGTAATAACTTCTCTCAAAAGGAAAATAAAGATATTAAATCTTACATTGTTGATGAAGATCAACAATATATTAACACAGGATGAAAATGAAATTGCTTTTATGTTTTTTAAAGATTCAGTTCGATTCAGCCAATCAATTTAGGATTAGGAAAATTGATCATACCACCAGCAGAGGTGGGTAGAGTAGCCCAAAACTGTACTCGAGTGAAAGTACTGTTACTTTGCAAAAACAAGTACTCAAGTAAAAGTGGTCATCATCATAATAACTACTTGAGCAACAGTACAAAAGTATTTACTAAAAAGTAGTGAGCAACTTAATTAAAAAAAACAAAACAAGTCTTTCATGTGGATGTGATTAGAATTATTTCAGATGGTCTTCCTCAGGTAAAGGTAAAGAAGTGAACATTTTATTTATTTGTGATGTGAGTCATTGCCTCCTGATTAGATTACCTGCCACATATACACCAGGACAACATTCCCAGTGTGTATCCATCAAGTGTGATTACAAAATATTAGTCTGTTAGTTCTCTAATAAGTAAAGATTG